AGAGAGAGAGAGAGAGAGAGAGAGAGACAGAGAGAGAGAGAGAGACAGAGAGAGAGAGACATAGAGAGACAGAGAGAGATAGAGAGAGATAGAGACATAGAGAGACAGAGAGAGAGACAGAGAGACACACAGAGAGACAGAGATAGAGACACAGAGAGACAGAGAGAGAGACAGAGAACGAACTCTTACTAGCTAGAGTGCTCAGTCTCTGTCAGATCTTGTTGGCTTATCATCATGTTTGAATCGTCTTTATTTCCCCATGGATATTTGTATAATTGTTCCATATGTTATTGAAGGTGGGATATAGAAATTCCAATAATTTCTCCCCCTCATTCTGCCATTATTTTTTACATCATGTTTTTTTCTCTATTGCTAAGTATGTTTATAGTACTTGTGCCTTCCTTTTGATGGATTGGCATTTTTATTACTAGAAATGTTCTTTGACTGTGATAACAATTTTTATCTTAAATTTTATTTTTGTGACATTCAGTATAGTCACACCAACTCCTTTTCAGTTGTTACTGTCAACTTTTAAAATCTCAACGTATTTTTAAATATAAATAATTACTTTCTATTATGCCATTAGGTTATTTCCACTGCTGTGTTTTCAAATTATTGGGATATTTTTATGAAGAAAAATTTTCCTCATTAACTCTTGTATTATTTTTCTATAGTATAATCCTCACAGGAAGGTGGGATAAAGTTTTAGATTTTCTTCTTTACTTTCACAAAATAGTGAGTTGGTTCTTGAGTAGGGTCCAAAAGTAACCTAGGTACTGTGCTCCTTTTTTAAAATTATTACTACGGGGGCTGAGGAGATTATCAGCAAAGGGCCCGCTATGCCAGCAGGAGGAGCCAAGTTCAGTCCCTAGAACCTATTTTAAAAGGTCAGACGTGGTGGTGTGTGTTTGTAATCTCAGCATTGGGAATGCAGACACAGATAGATCTTTGAGGCTCTGGCCAGACAGCCTGACAGAGTTTGTGAGTTCCAGGCACAAGCCACAGAGCCTGTCTCAAAAGACATTGGTTGATGCTCAGTAATGACAGTAAGGTCATCTTCTGTCTTTCACACTCTTGTCCATGCATACTGTACATGCATAGCTGTGTATACACAAAACACGCCCACGTGCACTGGCAGGGAAATTATCGCTGTGAACTGAAGAATTTTATTCTATTTGATATAATA